TATATATATATATATATATATATATATATATATATATATAAGAAGAGAAAAAAATTAGCCCCATAAAAACATTGATATTTCTTCATAAATGAAAATCGTACCACAACATTGTAACATCAATGACACCAATAACACCTCGACCCACGTCAGCACTGTGCAGCATTCCTCCCACCTTCTTATACGCCTAAAAAAAACACATGAAATCATTGAAAATCATTGGTGACAGACCATCGTACAGATCTATAAAAGGGAATGGATACTAAAATCTCACTTGTCTCTCAAAACACCAAAAGCATTGACCCACAGTCCAATGGTCATCACCATCTGTTTCATTGGTTAGTGATGACACAAAAGGCTATGGTTTTCCATAAACCATTGGATTCTAAACTTTCCTCCCTATGCAAAAACTTGGAATGTTCTGAAGCACATTAAGGATAACAAACAAAACATCAAATCAGAACCCACACAAGTTATCCACAAGTTGATGTCAAAACATGTGTGTACAATGGAGCTCCTATGCAAGTTCCAATAATAATAACTAAATAAATGAAGAGAGAACTATCAGTTCAATAGCAACTTCGTAATCAGCAACTTTCTGAGTAAAATCATGATGACATTGATTTTGAGATACATTAAGTAAATAGTCACTATGAATTTCGGAAATCCCTTACTCATATATCATCCTTCAAAACTTGAGACAAGTTCCCAGCTGATTCCAGCATCTCAGCTTTTTAACTTTCTAACTCAACAATTTAACTCAGCTTTTTAACTCAAGCGTCTCATCTTTTAACTTTCTAACTCAACAATTTAACTCAGCTTTTAAACTCAAGCGTCTCATCTTTTAACTCTCTAACTCAACAATTTAGGAACAGCATTACCAAATTTTCAGGCCTAGGTAGAAACCTAGATCATCCATTGACAAAATCCCCAATCAAATCACACATTCCAGTAAATTTTAAGGACATGCACTCTATACTCACTAGTTTATCCCTTCATGTAGGGACAACATGTACCATGGAGGCTTATCTAAGACCAAAGTAGTATAATCCTAGCAAAAGACAAAATCTCGATAAGGGAAACACAAAATCTTCTCTGTGTAGGCCAAGCCTTGATCAACCAAGAATAGCAAGGTAACTCAGCTTCAACCCAAAGAATGCCCAGGGTTTAAATAGGAGATTAATCGCCCTAAGATTCTCCAAATTTTTCTTCTCCTAGGTCGATTTACATAAAGCTGATTTTGACCTAGCATTTAGGGTCCATGGCTTTGAATTTGGCCACAAATGACAAGCAATGGCCACAAGCCCTAGAAATTTGAAACCTTTGAAAATAATACTAGGGTCATTGTACCAAAAGTAGAGGGCTCAAATAACCACAATGGTACTTCCTACAAGAAATACTCAGTTGTAATCAAAATTGGACTGAGACAACCAAATTTGGGCTGATTCGGACAAGTTATCGCAAAGCTTAAGTAACCCATATTGAAAATGAGCAGTGAATGGCAGGATATGCATGTTTGGATGCAACATATGTAGGAATACGTTCATGTATCTCACGTGTCTGCACTTCATGCATTATGCAAAAATGCAAGTCAAAGACTTAATTCATGTTAATATATGATGTGTACCTCAATCAAACGTCCGTGCCAATACAAAAATATCCCACTATTCATCCACTCCCACTCCATTTGACTGCAGCCCAAGGTTAACTGAGCAGCTTTGCCCATTATAGTACCATCTATCACAGATGTCTTATTAAGATATTTGGCCAGTGGTCTACTTTTAACCTGTCACAACATTGCACTACCAAACCACCATAAATTAGAAGTAGCACACAGGTCAGTAGAATAATACCAATGAGCCTTGGACATGTATTTTCATCCGTGGATTGAGAAAAATTACTTCCAAATAAGCTTTTAGAGAGTAATCCAATGGCACCTGAAAATTCCAGAGACTTGCATAAGAACTAATATTAAAGGTTCAAACAATCAAATTTTGTGACTAGTGTTAACGAAACACGACTCGGGTCGGGACACACTAGGGTTCCAATCCTGAATAACCCAGTTCAAATCCGCCTTTTGTTCCTAGCTTCATTCCAACCCAACCCAAGTCTGTAAAAGAGTTCACAAGAACATTGAAATTATATGAGATTAAGGGGCAAGTCGTTGAGAATTTTTCCTTGGGAATCGCCAGGTCTCAAGTTGAACTAACACAGGCCAGTCCCATGTTAGTGCAGCATTTTTTGAAACACTGGTCATGACCACATATACCAACATAGAAACCAAATTACAAAGCATCAATCAGCAATGCAAGGCAAAGTTCAACTACACATATGGAAATGAGTAGGGTATTCTCTCAAATATCACATCCCTATACAATCGAGGGGGAAATTCCGATGCTCCCAGAGTACAAAGTTCAGGAAGGATAGCATAATTAGTTCCATGTAATGTATGATGAAGGTTAGAGTGAGATCTGGTTTTATCAATACATTTCTAAACTGGTTACATAGAGAAAAGGATTTTCATTTTCATTATGACCCAGAATTTTCCCATCACTCTAAGGTAACGTACACACTTCATTACATCCAGTAAAATACAGTAATGAAATATATCCACAACAATACAATGCTCTAGATGCCTAACACAAAACCGTCTGTCAAGACATACTAAATAACCTATAAGCATATTCAAATGCAGAATTTTTTTTAAAGTCCATGCATCTTGAAGTTGAGATGATCAATTTGAGGATATTTGGGCATCAAAACCACCACTTCTAATGAAATTTTTGAGGTAGGCTCTGATTTGATTGAGAGCCTAGGCTCTATATAAACTTTTTTCCTTTTTGAAATTACCAAAAAAGATGGAAAAATATAAAAATAAGTATTAATGGCCTAAAAAATTTCCAATCTTTGCTAAAATGATGAAAAATTCCTAACTGGGTGATTAGAATTTAAACTGCCCGATTTTTCCTACATTACTCTCAACCAAATGATACAACAATAAGCCATCCATGATGACAAAAATAATAAAACTAATAAATTTTCCTCCTAATCAAACCAGGGAGAAATTTACACTAAAATACTTAAGTTCTATACAACCAGTAAACAACAGCATTGCTAACTGTACTTTTCAAGGAAAAGAAAACAAAAAAGAATAAAGAACACAAGAGAAAAGAGAAAAGAAGAAGCAAATTATTGCATATAAAACAAAGGTTAACAATTTCTAGAAAATAAATCGAGGATGGTGGCTTCTGAAAAATTGCAAGTCTTTACTTACATATGTGGAAAGCATAAAATAGAACATAACACCAAGAGATTGAACCAGTGTTTTAATAAACAATGAGCAGGCTCAAACAATTCTGAACCGCTTGAAACCGAAAAGTGACCAATGCAGGACTAAAGATCCATCAAGCGAGACTGGTTCCCACTAGTTAATATTGTTGTATTTTATTTTTTATGATATAGAAATTTTTCCAGGAGAATTTGACCAATTCTGATCTAGTTCACCATCTGGATTTATTCAATTGGTGATTGGTTCAGTAGGCCAATCCAAATTGTAAACCACAGAATTGAACATAATCTTTTCATTCTGCAAGTAGTAACTAAGCCCATATCACCATTCTGCAATAGGTATAAGTATGCAAACTTGATATCATACGCATGCCCTCATAAGAAATTTGAAATTTACAAGGAACAAAAGAACATTCTCATGATGAAGAACATGATATCATACGCATGCCCTCATAAGAAATTTGAAATTTACAAGGAACAAAAGAACATTCTCATGATGAAGAACATACACATCAGGTGGAGGATTGTGGCACTGTGTAAAGCTTATGCATTTGTTGTCTTTTCATGGGAAGCTGAACCATCTAGAGAAAAGACAAAAGTCAGCAAGCAAAAAATAAAATAAAAGACAAACCCACAGATCTTCAAAACTATAATACAATATATTCCTAATACATACTCGTCCACTATGATCTAGCTCCAATAAATGAAATGGAACTTACCTTCCCTGGGTATCTCATTAAGGTTCAACGTTGTCATTTTAACTGCAAAAATAGCACAAATTTCACAGGTTAAAAGATAAACAAGGCATTTGAAGCACATAAGTTGAGGACTATGAACAAAGGGACACAATAAGCTTGGAACACAACAACAAATGGGAAATCCCAAATGGGAGACGAGGGAACTACTTGCACTCCGATTGCGAAGGCATTTGTCAATTCAATAGCCCACAATTTGTCTGGGAAGGTATCTACAAGTGTTCAAATAGCAAAATGATACATGGGATAAGAGAAAGACAATGCCTCAGTCAGAACATACAAGGCTCAATGTTTCCCAACTAATAACTAGGAGAACAAGAAGTCCCTCATTGAATGTACTTCATTTTCAGAAGCCATTAAAAACATAGTTGTTATATGGTATTTTTCGACACTTGTATCCCCGGTGCGAATAAAGAGGAAGAAAATGCAACTTAGGCCTGCGAGTACCAAAATGCCTGCGGACAACAGAAGCACTATTCAAATAAACCCTAACCTGGAGTGAATTTTTGAAAGGCGATGGATGGGTCCCAAAAGCATGTGGGGGTAGCACTTGACCCCCTAAGAACACCCGCCAAGTTTCATCACGATGCGATGACGTTAAGGTGGATTAGACACAAAACCAATTTTCAATTTAACCCCTAACATGTTGAAAAAGCACCTCATAACTACAGCCCTATCACCGGAGCCTTAGATGAGCACCATACCACTGTCGTTGGATCCAGAAGGTCCAAAACCCTCAAATAGCAAACTTCAGCTCATTCGAACTGTTCTGGGCCATTCTGTGGCCAACTTACCCAAAAAGGGTAGGTTACACACTATTCTGGTGCACCCTCGTTGAACCAGTTTCATCATGAAACTGTCTTATGACTTCGGGATCACCTTCAAAAGGCCATAACTTCTCCATCTTAAGTCAGATCGAACTCAAATTTCAAGAGGTTCTTTGTCTCATCGGCGCGCACGTTTTGATATATGGCACGACCCGTGACATGGATCGAGACAAAAGAAATCCCAGAGAAAAGTTGTTCAAGAAAACTCACATAATGCAGATTTTTGCAAGGAGGAGGTCCCTTCAATCAAACGGTCATATCACGAAGCCCCGACCTCGGATCGACTTGAAAAAAAGTCCGTTGCGACCGTGACATCGAGGTCTTCGATCCAAAGTGAACATCATATGTGATAAACGACATAAAGGTTGTACTCTAAGGTTGCAAAAAGGGGTATTTTTTGGCGACTGGAATCCAAATTCCAGCGACTTCCCCAATTCAAAAGTGGTGGTCCGATCACCAAATCGAGTCATTCTTGATCATGGCAGCTTCCCCGTCGTTCTACGATAGAAAGATCGAACCAAAACGTCAGGGAATGCACAAGATCTAAGATCGCAAATTTCCCATCTTTTGGTCAAGGGCTCAACACTTCGATTCGAAGATCAAGTAATATGTCAAAACAATCGCCTCGTCGAGACCATCACTTTTGTCGCATTCTTTTCGCCGAAAGGGCTTGAATGAGCCTCGAATGACCACCATAGCCCATGTCCCCTTTTAGGAGACCATCTTGCCCCTAAAAACGGGATTTAAATTTAAATCATAAAAAGTGTAATTTTTAGCAATTAGGGTTAGTTTTGAGCATCCAACCTTGTTCTAAGGGGGTGCTATATAAGCATTGCATGATCATTTGTAAGCAGCCATTTTTCCATAAGCTCAAAATTAATGAAATTGGATTGAGTTTCCCTTGGTTTGTAATATTTTTGTTTCTATCCCTTTCACCTAAGGAGAGGAGAGAGAAAAAATTTCCCCATAAATCACTACCCCTAGAACTCTTCACTTCCCACTTGGAACTTCTCACTCCCAACCTAGCCACAAGTTCGGTTCAAGGGAACCTCTCACTCTTTCTCTCCTCCCCTCTTCTCTTTCTTTCTCTTCCTCTCCCTTTCTCTCTTCCTTTCTCTTTTCCCCTCTTTCTTTCTCTTCCTCCCCCTTTCTCTCTTCCCCTCTCTTTTCCCTTCTCTCTTTCTCTCTCCCCACTCTCCCCCTCTTCTTGTCTCTCTCTCCCCTTCTCTCGCTCTCGCCCACCGAGCCAGCAGCTAAACCGTCGGTCTGCCTCCCTCTCTCTTTCTCTCTCTCCCTCTCCCTCTCCCTCTCCTTCTCTCTCTCTCCCTCTCTCTATCTCTATCTCCCTCTCTTCTCGCTCTTTCCCTCTCGTTCTCTCCCCCTCAGCTCTCTATGTCCCTCTCCTTCTCTCCCCCTCACCTCTCTATGTCCCTCTCCTCTCTCTCTCCCTCTCTTTCTTCCTTTCTCCCTCTCTCTCTCCCCCCTCACAACTCGAACTGGAGGCTCCCCTCTCTTCTCTCTTTCTCTCTCCTTACGGCACCGACAGGTGGCTTCTCCTTCTCCCCCCTCACAGCTCGAACCGACAGCGTAACCGTCGGTCCCCCCTCTCTTCTCTCGGTTTCTCTCTCTTTCCCCCTCTCTCTCGATTTCCCTCTGTCTCTCTTTTCTCCTCACCCTCTCTCCTTTCTCGCTCGCTCTCTTTCCTTTCTCGTTTTCTCTCCCTCCCTCTCTTCCTCTCGTTCCTCCTCTCTCTCCCTCTCTTCCTCGTTCTCTCTCGGCTCCTTCTCTTCTTCCCTCTTTCTCTCTTTCTTTCTCGCTCTCTCTCTCCTCTCGCCTCTCTCTCATTCTCTTTTCTCCCTCTCTCTCTTCTTAAACTCTTTCTTCCTCTATCTCTCATAAGCTCCTCCCTCTTTTCCCCTTCACCCTCTACTCCCTCGACTCTTATTCTATCTCCGCCACCATCATGACATCCCACTCTTGACCACATGAATCATCTTCTAGAATCTTTTCATTTATTTATTTATTTACATGAGGTTGCTTGTCAAGATGGCGCCGGTAGGATGTCAAATCGACAAATAGTCTCTTGTCATCCCCACACCCTATTACATGTATACCCATCTAACGGCAAGTCAGGGTCTTCTAACCCACTTGTCTGGTCTTTTTAAGCGTGTGTGTTCATGAGGTACAAAGTGCGAGCAAGGGAGCTAAAGCCGAACCAGCCTCAGGCTAGGGGGTTTTCCATCGTGATCTTAGAAGATGCCCACAAACGCCCGAGCGCGTCACGAACCCATCGTGAGGTAGGTCCCACCTCACACCCCATAATTCTCTCTCATTAGTTGGTACCTGCCCGCGCGTGCACCTCACACACTGTGGTTTTCGAGAGAGCGATCTCTGGCAGGACCCACACATCCGGGTCCCCACACGGTCATATGACCCGACAAGATAGAGGCCCAACCAATAACCTCTTATAATTTGTGACTAGGAAAATGAAAGTCTTCTATTTGGTCGTTAGCTTTGGTAAAGGGGGTCCAACAATCAGAGGTTTAATTTTTTTTCAGGTATCCTCTTTTTCTACAATCATGAAACATTGCTTTATTCTGTATGGATGTGGAATACCAGTTTGTGTAAATATTGCTTTGAACTACACAAATTGGCATGGAACTGGTTGCTGAATTACCATAATATTCACCCGTTTGAGCCAAACTGTTCCAATATGAATATCCAATACCATTAATTTGAGTTTTTCAGGTCATTCCAAGTCATACTGGAGCATGTTGCTTAAATACCCTAGTATTCACCAGGGCAGTCTCTTGACTCATCTTGTTTTTCAATGAAACATAACTGTTCCAATATGAATATACTGGAGCATTAACTATGGTTTACTCTCCTTTACACTTTTAGCCCAATAAGTCCAAAATCAGGATTGAAGGAACCAAACAATGCATTGTGTATAAGCCTGAGAAACAAAAATATGCAATCAGGGCAGCCTATCACTCACACATTTACTTCTGAATACTTGCATCATTAATCTTTTAATCTCCAACTGCAAAATACTGACAATCTGTAGATAAGATGATGAAAACCATTGATGAACTTTGTACGAAAAATACAAATGCAGATAAAATAGTAATAAACGAGACAAAGCACAAGGAAATAAAACAGCGGAAAGAAAAGACATATATAGTTTTCTGTATAAAGAGCATGCAGCAATATGTAGTAGAACTGAATAATACAGGCGGCATGAGAAGGCTGTGAAGATCGATCACATAGCAAAAAATAACAGCAAATAAAGATTCTCAAAGAGAATAAATCACCAGGAACATGAAGAAGGAGAAACAACGGAAAAACAACATTTACAGTGATAAAACAATCAAAACTGGAAAGAAGAATAGAAGAAAAGGAACCACATAATTCACATAAAGAAATGTGTGAAAGCTAGAAGAATCACAATAAGAATCAAATTTTATCCATGAGAGTTCAAGAAGAAAAAGGAATAGGAGTTTTTTAAAGATGCAAAACATAAGAGTTCTGCCAAAAAACCAGAGACAAAAGAAATTCAAACGTATGGTAAATTACCTTGAAGAAGCATCAATGCAACAACATTCCTAGTAGAAATCCTAAACATCAAGATTAAGAAAAAGACAAAATGCATAATTCACATAAAAAATTGCGAGAATCCAAGAAGAATTATAAGAATAAACAGATTTGTATGCAAAGAACTCAAGAAAAGGAAGAAGAAGAAGTCCATTCAATACTCAAAACGTAAAGCTTCAGAAGAAGCTGACAGACAAAAGAGACTGAAGGGAAGAATGAAGAATAAATTACCTTGAACAAGAAGAATTACAACAGTATTCACAGTAAAAACCCTGAAAAACGAAGAAAACAGGAAGAATCAAATGAAAAAATAAAATACACACATTCCAGAAGAAATCACAAGAAAAAGCGTAATAAGACGAAGAAGTCCACTTAAGACTCTTCTTCTGATAAAAAATCAGAAACAAGACATAACGAAATATTACCAAAAAGAAGAAACAATAATGAGAGAAGAACCGAGCAGCAAAATTTTGGTTTCGAAGTGAGGAAATTTATCTGCAACGCAAAACGCATGTTTCAAAGCGAATTTGAAAGCAGCGGGAAATGACCATATGATGTGCCAGGTGGCGAACTGGATCAGTCGATGGGTTGCCAACTCATCATCTGAGCCGTTGCTCGTGATATTCGTATCTCAACCGTCACTTCCGCACGTGTACGGAACATTGCTTTTTCTTGATAGACGTAGTGAAGTGACAGTCTCTGTCAAGATGGACCCCGTGAAGGTTTCTGTCATAGTTTTAGTCTCTAAAGTTCCTAGTCCCGGCAATCGGCATATCGGCCGGTTGTGGGCGGAAGGCTAGGCTTGGGCCGTGGACCCACTATGTTATCAACCGTTATCACTTTTCTGGATTCTATTTAGCATGGCCAGGCGTTGTTGCCCGGGCTAGCCTGACCTGTTGTTGGTCCCGGTGCCTATTTTATAGACGCATGCGGGTGTAGGCCCATAGGCTTTTGGGCCTACCTTAAACTAGTTTAGGCCTAGAACAAAATAGAAGAAAAAATTTAAAAAAAAAAAAAAAAAACTTACATACTATATTTTTTATGCATCTTACCCGCAAACCTAAACTTTTTTTCATTTTTTTCAAAAAACCATGTTTTCTATGTAAATACCTCTCAAGGGAAAAAAATATTATTATTAGATCGAAATGTCTTTGCTGTACATCAAAATCAATCTAACCAGAGCTCATTGCCAAAAGGAACCACCGCAGTGTCGGAGCGTACGATCCACTGCCGAAGCGAACATACACAGAGCTGGAGCGCTATGACTCCATATTACACTGTCGGAGCACATGATCCAGCGCTGAAACGCTATAACTCCAGAGTGTTGCACTGCCGAAGCGCACTTACATGGTGCCGACCCGCATCATCCACTGCCAGAGCGTACATACACAGTATCGGAGCACTGTGACTCCAGATTCCACTGTCGGAACACATGACCCATTGTCAGTACGCACATAGACAGTATCGGAGCGTTGTGACTCCAAAATGTTGCACTGACGAAGCGCACTTACACAGTATCGGAACGCAGTTAGATAGAGGAGAGAGAGGCATGGATAAGGTAAAAGTAAGCGAGGGTATTGTGCATAAAGTGTATTTTTTGGAAAAAGGTGAAAAAAAAAGTTAGGTTGGGGTAAGTTGCATAAAAACTGTAGTCTTGAGGGTTTTTTTGTAATTTTTATAACAAAATACACGGTCCATGCTCAAGCTAAGGTTCAGGCGCGATTTAGAGCGGCCTTGACTGAAGATAGCTTTGTACATCCCTTTCCAAAAATATGATGGTTCTCATGTTAAAGGATAGCCATGTGAAGTAGCTATGTGAAATGCTACGGAGTAAAATCAAAAAAAAAAATTTTTTTTTTGTTTATATATTTGAATTCTGCTAGCCGATGTCATAAAACAATGTTGTGCATAAAAAAAAGGGAAGGGTTTATATGATTCCCCTACATCATAGAAGTTCTATCCTCCCCCTACCATCCAATCGTTCAATTTTGATCAGGAGAGTCACTCACCGTTTGATCTTAGATCCAACATCTCAAAGTATTTTATTTTTAATTTTTGTTATACAAATTGTATGAATATGAAATTCGGTACGTATCATCCTCTCATTGGAGCGCACCTATAGAAAATATTAAAAATAATTTTTTGATAAAATATAATGACCAAAATACCCCTTAAATCTTTTAACGCTTTTTTGATCATTTTTTTTTATTGATAATATTTTTCTTATATTTTTTTCTAATGCGAGTTTAATAGAGGAATGGACGTACAAAATTTTGTATCAAAATATTTTATAGAAAAAAAATAAAAAATAAAATAGTATAAAGACGTGACATTGTGATTGGGGCAATATTAGCCCTCCATTCATAATGGACGGTTGGATAAGGGGGAGGATAGAACTTCCACGAATTAAAACATATTTGACTCAATAAGCAAAGGCCACATAATGCATTTAAAACATCAATAAGCAAATGCCACATAATGCATTGGAAACAAGAAAACACAATACTGCACACCACAGAGAATAATATCACAATATTACCTCTACTAGACTTTCCACACCCCACTCTGGGTCTCCTCCTCTAATGACGTATGAGATCAATGGTCTATCTCATATTTTTAAATTATGAAAAACCAAAGTTTACTACCCTTAATCAATATTAGAGCAATGGAACAAAACTATAACAACAATGTCTGAATATTACCTCTATTGGACTTTCCACACCCCACTCCGGGCCTCCGTCTCCAATGGAGCAGGAAATCAATTGTCTATCTCATATTTGCGAAGTATGAGAAACCAAAGGCTACTACCCTTAATCAATATCAGAACAATATAATAAAACCATTACAAGAATTAGGCCTCAATACCTTAGTGCATTGAGTGTGGCGTGCCCCTTTCTTGGATATAAGTGGGGCGTGCCCCGTTCTTGGATCTAAGTGGGGCGTGCCCCCTAATTTTCTAACCCAGATGTAGAGAGATCTTGCCAACTAGAGAGGGAGAAGAGAGATGAGAGGTGTAGAGAATGTAGAGATTTGATATTTTATTTATAAACTTTTATAAGGGTTTGAGTTTTTTTAGGATTAGTCATTTTCATGAATATTAGATCCAGACCATTGATCACAGGAGACATGTGAGATAAGAGATTTGAGCCATACAATATTTATATCAACCATCATGATTCAAATGAAGGTGTTAGAACCGTATTATTCAGCTTTCTAAAGCTAATTCCATCAAATAAATATAATATACTTCTATTTTTTTTCCATAATCTTCTTACACAAAAGTGGAGCCTTTCCAATCCTATGGAAAGAAATCCCCAAAAGTGGAGCATGCCATTCACGGGCCCCACACACTTCTCAACGGTGGACATGATGGCCTCCCATGGGCCCCTTATGTGGGCCCCACATGCCCCCCATTAATATTTATGATTTATAAAATCATAAAAATGATTTTTAGAGAATAGTAAATAAATAAAAATTATCTTTGAATATTTAAATACTAAAATTCAATATCTCTCTATTTATAATACCATTTTATGAAAATAAATTTCCAGATACTTATAAAAATTTAAATAATCAATCTAATTTATTTTTAACATCAAACTAATTAATTATAAATAAATTTGATGATAATTGGATCCAACTAAGTCAATGAATTATAAAATTGTTGAAGTACGTCATCTTCTACTGCAAACTATAATCTACGTTTACCTTCTCAAACTAGGCAAACGATTCGTATGACCCACAGACCATCGCAGATATTCACGATTTGGCCATCAAACTCAGTCGATAGGTAAGGAGACACAATCATAGTCTATGGATTACAAGTTATCTCTTAGAGACAAGTTTAATGTCACACATACCTAGTGTAACTATAGATAGTTTTATAGTGCATAGAGGTCATCTCTCGCACATGTACATGCATCACCTTCAATGATGATTTTGTTTCCATAGACGACAATCATATGTACATGCCGTGTAATGGTTCAAAGATAAGGTTTTGGACCTCATATCTACAGGCCCATCATCACACAACAAGGGATCTGACCTTTGTATCTTTACCTTGGGCAACTCCGACTTCGTCAAGGGATAACCCCTCTAATCTCATCAGTTGTACTCTAGGCTCAAGTAATTAAAGGTTTCCAACTTTACTGGCTTAGCATGCAAAGCTTATTCTAAGTATCGACAAATATCATTTACCTATTTTAGTCTAATTGAATTATACTTCTACTGAATTTATGTTCCATTATATCAAAATATTAATTACATACTCTTATAAAACCTTTAATATTTGTAAATAGGCAACAACCTTCTAATCTTTATAAGGCATCCTACAAGCGGCACCTCCTTTCAATAATAATGTTCTTGCGTGTCACTCGACTCACTCCTTGATCCTCTGGCCGTGTGTGTCACCTATTAAATAGAGAGACTAGAGAGAGAGGCATGGAGCAAAGAGAATGAGAAAGGGAGACTAAGAAATTTAGAAGGAGAGTTTTAGGGATTTACCCTCTATTTATAGTTTTCAATGGGGGTTTAGAAATGCTAATTTAAAATAGAGATTGTCTTAGTCAAAATTTGTGAGGTGAGACAAAACAATTCGGAGCCATTTATTCTAAGAATTAGTTATGCATCACAATTTAGGGAAGAATATATGAACCTTATCGCTTGAATATTTAACTCACATCCACTTAAGATAGGATCAGTCAAAACTCATATTCTATTTTGACTATAAATTTCATTATCTCTTGGAGTAATATTTTCTAAACACAAAATATTATGTTGTTTGGGTAATTTAATGGGAAAGACATGGCCCTACCCATATTTTTGAAATAGTTTAGGAGTTAGTGTTTTGAAGGTATTAGTGGGTGTGTCAGTGTAAATAGAAACTACAAATAGAGAAGGGGGCGTCCCATCTCGATGTGCGACATGTGGGCCCCACATCCCACACATGTAGGTGTGGCGCATGTGTCAGTTTGGACCCAAAGGCCCTGTGTGTTCATACTAGCTCCGTCCATGGTTTTAAAAATTACAAAAATACCCTTTAAGGGTTTTTATTACTGAAAGTGATTTTTAAATTTTTTTTAAAATTATAAAAATGGCACAAACAATTTTTAAGCTAAACATCAAATTTATGAAAGTGTATTGGTATCAATAGGTTAAAAAAAATTAACTATAAGGGTACTCCACCCGACCGAATAACTTTGATCCTCAATTATCTTCTCGAACTAAACCAATGAGACCCACGACACCCATAGTCTCATGCAGATATTTATTATTGACTTGACAAAAGATGGCTAATAAATAGTGAAACCACAGTGCTGCGATGTGGATTATATGTCCTCCCTTAAGTGCAAGTCACATGCACACATTGTTGCAGTACAATGGGACTTTCTCTATGTATATACACATGTATCCGTTTGTAGAGTTGCTTCATGGTATGTTGGTATGATATATGTTATGCAAAAGCTTGTTGATTAATTAGCCATTCTTCTTAGAGGCCTACATTTACACATACGAAACTACAAAATTCTCCTGACTTACGAATCAACCCTAGACATTTATTCGACCTCAACAAGGGGCATCATGGACTAAGAAATAAATGTTCTGGACATGAAAAGACCCATAGGGCACCCCACCATCTGGTACTCAACCAATACACACTCCCAACGAATTATACTATCCATTGTATTTTTTTTTTTATTTGTGTACTTTGATGGCTTCAAAGGCCTCAAAACTCGAAATCTCATGTGGCCTTTAAAGTAAATACACTCACTCCCTTCCACCCTCTCTTAAAGCACTATGTGTTTTTTACAATAATCACATGAACTTTTATTGAATCACATCACCAATAATACAATGAAAAAGGATCATACAACAATCATAACAAGAAAAGAAAAAAATAAGAAAGCAAAAAATCTCCTCACTCTACATATAAAACTTGTATTATTAGAGGGTAATTTAGTGGGGATGACGAGCCCTAACTTGTTTTTTAAAATTGTTAGTAGTTTTTGAATGCCTTAGGTGAGAATGAAAGCTTAGACTTTAGTTGGACACAAACAATGCTACCACCGTGACCCCAAACCCAATTCTCACATAAAACTTGTATTTACACACCATAGTTTACCAAACCATTTGGCAAACTATTATTCTTCCTAAATACATGCCCAAACGCCGGTTACTTATTTTAACATAAATCATTTACCTCCCTCCCTAAAAATAGCCACCAATTTATATGGAACAAGTGCCCTCCCAATGCACCACATTTGAAGAATCACCTTCTGCAACAAATCTATCCTTCCTTTATTAACTTCCAACTTTGTGACAAAGCAAGCCATCTGACCCGCTTCCCTCTTTCTCTCTCTGACACATGCTCTCTCTCTCTTATCTATCGTTTCCAATTCTTTTATCTCCTATTTTCTCTCACTTCTCCAAAAGGAAGTCTTTATCAAATGATATAATATTTGTTAGGATACAAGTAAAGCAACAACGATCACTCCAATTAAGATTTCGTTGTTGCAAATGTCGTAGTAGTCCGTGGGAGCACACTTCACCTGGCTGTAAAAGTTATTCAATACTTGTGCACCCACGCCGTCACCTCACCGGCCGCATCCTTTTCCAAGACTTCACTTCAAATCCGTGGCATCACAAGGCAGTGTATATGAAGGGCGATCCGCTCCATTTTTAGGGCATAGTAAGTTTCCCAACACTTGTTAGGGCACAGTGCTTCGCTGATGTCCATTTTCAAGGGAAAGGTCTGAGGAAAGGTCGAATAAAAATGGAGATCTGTTCACGTGGATTGGGCAGTGGACGGGCTTGGATTGCCCATGGCTTACTCGCTGTGGCCGCCATTGCAGCTGCTGGATATGCTTTTCGAAGGAAATCATCCCATTTTCGAAGCCGAGCAGTTGGAATCATACCTGCTCGCTACAAATCTTCTCGATTTGAGGGAAAACCATTGGCTCAAATCCTTGGAAAGCCTATGATCCAGGTTCTCCTCTATTTCTCATTGTTTTTTCTACTTGATTTATGTGATCTTCATTTCCTTACTGATATTTGAGTTCTATAATCTCCTTCGTCTTGGTCCTCTGATATTCAATTTATATATTTTATCTTTATTGTTATTTTTGTAAGTAACTTCGATATATATTTTCAATTTATTGAAATGAGTTTATTTCTTAGTCCTTGGAAACTTAATGATCCGGTTCCCTGTTGCTTTGCTGCATTTTCTGCATTTTTTATGTTTAATTGCTCTGATATTCCTTTTCTCACAGAGTTTGCAGAAGAAAAGGTATTCCTTTTCTTTCAGATGGTGAGCGTTGATGGTCTTTACTTTCATCTATTTAATTTATCTTTATTGTGAAGTATCTGGAGTTGAGTTCCACTTGTTTTTGTTAATTTTCCATTCGGAGGTAATTGATTGACATGCTGTGAAACGTATTTGGATTTTATTGTCATATGCATTGGCTAATTATTTGAAACTTGATAAAATATAGGTACAACGAGTTACCATTAGTTTTTTCTTTTTCTTTTTCCAAACTATTGTACCTTTTCCCTTTTAAGTTCACTAAACTACATCAAATCTAGAAGTCATTGTCCAAATTAGAAAAACTCCAAAGCGATTTGCAGAAAACCTTAATGATTATTTTGATACATTTCTTATGGAGCTAATCTAATGCGTATTGGATGATCTATTGTTTATTCTAAAATCTAAGGAGGAAAGATCTGAATTTGATGCATATTTTTCGATATGAGTTTCAAAGTTTCACTTGGAGCCATGGCTAAAGGAAAAAGGAGGGGAATGTATACCCTTCAAAAACTATGTTAGAAGCCCTAGTTTGACCCTAATTTTGAACATAACCTCAATTCACTTAAAAAAAAATTGAAAACACACTACCAAAAATTGCTATTTTGTAACCCGATGAGCATAAGCCGTCCATTTTATAGGATGATTAGATATAGGCCTTAGAGGGAGTCTTTTTTCATTCCAATTTTTGTACATGGCGTCATTGACATTAGATGTACAATTCTGAAAAAAAAAAAATTGATTTTGAATTTCTAAAGACCTCGATCTCGATATCCACCAAAGTGACAGGCTGGATCCATTGTTGGAGAGTGACTAATTTTTACCATTTTCATGCTGCAAATTCAATTTTTTTCATCTTGACATTGATTGTTGCCATGGAGTGTGAATGCAAAATTTAGGATCATGCAAATGCCACTGGTTTTCTAGAAGGGCGGTTTCATTATATTATAATGAAATGATGACATGAAATCACTTTGTGAATTATAAGATCCTTGGGATCAATTAAAAATGTGGTTAACATTTCTTCAAAAAACTAAAAAGGGGAGACAAAGTAAAGGATAGGAGTAATTTAAGGGGAGACAAAGTAAACGATAAGAAATTACTCATCCACAAAACTGAAAAATAAAAGTAATATATTAGGTATAATCCTTAGATATTTCAATTAATGAATTACTTCAATGACTCAGAGAATATTTTCTCAGACTAGAACAACACAGAACCAGCATAAGAGTTGAATAAATTTCATTAGAAAACAAGATCAGTAAAATCTTGTGAAAATTGCAAATTGTTTAGTAATAGTTCTAAGACATGCTAATTATTTTGAAAAAAGAAAATTTTGTGGCATATGTATACCTTCCCTAACTCATGATTTGAATTTTATTAGAGTGGTCGATTCAGATTCAATCTCTACTCTTTTAATTTCATCAAATTTCATCGTGACTCATATGGATATGGATTCGTTTTTTTGTGACCTCATGGAGGTTTTGCACAATAAATGTCTCTTTGACTTAACCTATGGAGATCAACGTTGTTTGCAAATATATACCCAAATTAGTGAGTTCTCTCAATGCTTACATGTATATACTTGGTTTCTGAAACATTTTTTGGATTAGGGGGTTATCGTTCATTATTTTTGTATTAATGCGCAAGTACATTTGTTGCAGAGAACTTGGGAGCGAGCTAAGTTGGCTGTCACATTGGATCATGTTGGTAGGTATTCGTAATTGAACTTATTTGCATGTTTAGTTTTATGAATTTTTGCATCTCACTCTGTCGCGCTATGACCGGTATGCATAACAAACTCCGCTATGGCTGATCCCAAGCCCTGATAGAGGAGGGCTGTGTTTGGTAGGTAGCAAGTGTAAACTTTGCCACATCTTTTCATGAATCCTGAACCTAATGACGGAACAAGATTTGTGTAGCCGACCCCAAATTGTTGAGATAAGACTCGGATGATGATGTCTCTGTCACACCATGAGAAGTAGACACTTTTGTCATTTTCATGATTTTAGCACCCCATTTTAGTGATTTCTATAGAACTAAAATAAAATAAAGGAAAACCATTTTAGCGCTCCCCTCATCCTTCCCTCTTGTTGTGTTTATTGTGTTTATTCCACTGCACGCATGACCATTTCCCATCGAATATAGCCAGATCCATACATAAGACATGAAAAATTTCTGTAAATGCTATTACAGTTCATATATAATATTTAATGTCAAAAATTATTTGAGTTTTGGCCATAGGAACTTTAACTCTTTGAAGTTTGACCTTTTATGGGAAGAAATCCTATTCTTGATCATTTATTGTTGTTTCCTTTAATGAAGTAACATGAATAGCTCTATTGCGGAAGATATTGCATATTTGTGGTTTGATTGTGGTTGAAGCTAAATGGGGTGGAGATGGTGATGCAGTGAAAGCTGTAGTAGGAAAGAAAGAGGATGTGGATGAGAAAATACATGGTGTTGAAGAGATGTTTTGGCTTTGACCTGGTCAATGGGAGAAGAAGATTTTGGGGAGACTAGACAGAGGAATGGGAAGATTAGGTGCCAAAGGTCGGATCTAATTTTGATGGTTGTGAACAGTCTTGTGCTAGAAGAGTTGGTAGTTTTGGAGAATGGAATCTAGCTTGTGGGAACAAGATGGGGTTTCCACCCTGTGGGTCCTAGAATACTGACATGTGGAATCGGGGGAACCTTAAGGCTGGTAACCTTTACATCATGCAGGCTGGCCCTATGCTAGGAAAGGTGGGTAGCCTCTTTAGTTTGTTTTAGTCTTTGGAATAGTAGGTGGTTAGTTATCGTTCCTGCAAGTGGGCCCTGTCTTAGTTGTAGATAAGGGTTCATGTAGTGAGTGATCTCATTTCGAGTTCTGAAAGGAAAAGTTTGAGTTGGTTGGTGAAGTAGTTGGATAGAATACTTGTAGGGTCCAAGTTCTTTAGAATTTGGATGATATTGTGTGTGTATATGTGCCCATAGTCGCTGCCTCAATCAGCTTTTAGTGGTTAATATTATCTAAATGTGGGAGCTTTTGGAGCTCATCATCATTGTGGTCTAAGAAGGGTGAAGACCTTAAACTTTCCCATAACCTGTCTCAAATGGAGCTTTTGGAGCTAATTCTATAAATATTGGTATATGAAATTTTCCTTGCCTGTGAGACCAATATAACTTTCTATTGATATAATTGTTTTTTCTCATGTTTTTATCATCTGGATATCTTGTGTTCAAATTTTTGTTCACAAGTGTCTACACTTTTTTTTTAAATTCATGTTTTATATCATATGGATTACTGTACTAACCAAGGCTTCTACCTCAGTTGTGGCGACTGATGATGAAAAGATTGCAGAATGCTGTCGAGGATTTGGAGCAGATGTGATAATGACATCTGAATCATGCCAGAATGGTTAGTACTATTTTTTTGCATGGTTAGGGTTCTGACTTTCTGAGTATCCTTCGCTTTTGTTATGATTGACTGCTCAAATTTTCAGGTACTGAGCGCTGCAATGAAGCTCTACAGAAGCTTAAGAAAAAATACGACATTGTTGTCAATATTCAAGGGGATGAGCCTCTCATAGAACCCGAAATAATAGATGGGGTTGTTAAAGCTTTACAGGTTTGTCATTGGCTTTTCTTGTTGTGCAGCATTATGTGAATGTAAGTTTCTCCATTCTAGTATGTCAAGGAAATTCTAAAGGCTATGAAGTACCTAATGAAAGCTTTGGGTGAGGATTTCATGAGGAGTCCATTGCAATAAGTTGGATGGAGTTGGGATGAACTTGTTCGTTCTTGCTAATATGCATCATCATGAGACAATTTTATGTTTGGTGATTGACACAGTAATGGGTTTAGTTTTTTGATTTTTCTATCAATCTTTGGAAGGCTTATTAATTGGTTGCAATTCTGGGACTACAAAAATTGTATGTTCGTTAGTACATCCTATTATATGATGGTTGGTTTCAGTTCAATTGCTATGACTTTTAAATTTTTAGGTTAAATAGATCTTTCTTAAATTTCACTTTATGTAATCTTTAGAATCCTCTTATATGTGCATAAGTTTTAGATGTGGCTACCTCATAGATAGTCAAGATGGAAAATGGGTGGTTAGCAAGATGCTGTAACATGGGCATAATTGCTTGGATCTTTCATATAAGATGGTGTTTTCACTCCCAGAAGCAGACTCCACAGTTCGGGAGGGGAAGCGCATTCCTGTTTCTTGGGATCGTCTTCCCATATTTTCAGGAAATCTTTTCTGCTAATGTGATTGAGGAAGAGCTCTCTCTGCCCTTTGGCAGGCTTCATTGTGGGACCTATGATATGCACTACAAGGAAATTTAATGGTTTATAGAAGCGGGAATATTTTCCTCAAGAATCACTCCCGAACTCCACAAATTGAAGAAGTTATGGGTCTTTTATGTGGGAAAAACCATGATAATCAACCATGTTAAAAAATCAGACACAAATGGGCTTCGAAACAACCCCCAATCTCCCGGATTGATTATGACTTGCCATATATGGATAGAAAGGGCATCAAGTCACAATTCTGCTGCACCACATTTCATCGCAATGGTCCTCCCGGACTGGGAGAAATTTGCTGAAAACTGGCTATGGGTCATGGAATCCAAAAACTCTGTAAGCATGAAGCACCTCATTTTCTCCCTAGAAATACACCATTGTTTGGCAAACAAGACCCCTAAAATACACCTTGGCGGAAAGCCCTCGAAGTGTAGAATAACATGTCCAAAGCCCGGATCAAAACTCCATAAGTATGGGAGATATCAACTCTGAAAAATCACTAAAAATAGTTGTTTTTGCAGATTTTTGAACCAATTTCCATGGTAGCACGAAAATTAATTTTTAAATAGTATGCTACATCATGAAACCTTTAGTAAATGTGACTAAACGGTGTTGGAATGACACAGACTTGTAAAGTTGAGGTTTTTTGGTCACTTGCAACTGTCTGTGAAAGATTTGGCCCCATCAAGATCCGATTCCGGAGGTTCCTTTGTGAATTGGGTTGCCGAAGCTATGATGGTTGCCTTCTTCTGGCTACTTCTGACTCGTAGGTAGTAGACAGATATTCGTATTGAGCACACACTCCACTGGTGGTTCTACGATTCCCCTATATGTAGTGGCCTATACCAAGAACTCCGGGGTGAGCCATAGATCCCCGCCCCAGCATATTCACCAAGTCTGGTCCATATACAGTCTGCTCTTCTTATGCTTACTCCATAGGCTGCAAACTATAGTCCGACCATTGATTCCGCAATATCTCCTTCGTCCGACTTCATTTTGGGGTGATATTTTGGGAATATCTTGGGGGTACTTCAGATTAAATTTGAGCCAATTTACATCCTTTTTCAGAGGCTTCCATATGCTCGTTTATATTACTGCTTCATGATAAGTCTGGGTCATAACCGACCCCAAACCTCTTGGTTTATATTCTTGGGATCCTCTGTCACCTATTATGAAGATCCCCGAAGTTCGGGGCCCATTATGTATTCATTTGGTCGGTCTACTACTTTCCATATTTTGGCAGTTTTCTAGCGGATATGATACAGGATTCCTGTTGGGGTTGACAATCTTGTGTATCTGCAATCTGTGGGTTGTCTTTGACCTTGAAGCAATATCAACCCTAATTTTCAAGACCTTTGGGGTATGGGAGGCATGAATACGCATCCTCCGGTTTCAAATGGGTCTTTTGGTATGGGGTTTGCTATTTATATGATCCAACTAGTGTTGCGATGTAAAAATATGACCAAACAATCATATCTAATTAGGCATCTGCATGTTTTGAAATTAGCTATTGTGTAGTAATAATGATTAATCTATTGGCCTTTGAGGAGAGTCTTTGCATTTTCTTTATTAGCAACCTTGGGTACCTTTATTTGGGTTGTGTAACCCCACTCCCTCATGTCAGCCCAGCTCTTTGGAATGGTGTGGAATCATTTTAGGGACATGTCTATGAGAAGCTTCCAAGTGGTTGAATCGAAAAGGGGTCGGTCCAGTCTAAATGATTGAATTGGTTGGATCAAGTACATAGACTTTTAATTTTTTGGATACAAAGCATCTCGAGGAGATGCCTTTGTGATTTTGAATTTGGATAAAAGTTTGTGTAAGGCCATGATGGTATAACTAAAGGAATAGGGAAATTTAGTCCGTTGTGCCTATAAGAAAAAGTTATTTGATCATATCATAGCACAATTAGGAATTCCTTTTTAGGCATTGGCGTGAGAAGAAATTCAGACCAAATCAGTTCTATGCAGATCATTTTATTTCAGTAAAGAAACAGGGAAGTTTCTCTTCCTGGGGTGATGTTTGGGCCCAGGATGTAAGCCCCCTGTCAGGGAAAATGAGAAAAACATGCTTCTCAAATAGATCATAATATTTCAGATATAGAAGTCTATTCTCACTTAGAGATCCGAGTTGGAAGATTGCGTCTTTGACGTTACCTTTTCTATGATGCTTTGTAGGCATAAATGTTTAACCTCCTATTCTAATGGATTTATGCTTCTAATTAGATGGAATTCTTTAGTAGTCTCAAGCTTTTGCCAAGCACTCAAAAGACCTTCGTCTCCAAAAATCAAAATGAAGTATGGGACATTCAAGCAGGATTCTGCTGATTACGCTAGTAAAATGGCAATTGCAGAATGATTCTCTTACTGCATGAGAAGTTGATGTTCCAATTTCAGTGTGAGAGAAAACAAGCAAAATTAGTTCCTGTTCATGCCTTGTGGATAATTTCCTCTATATTAGTACTGCAGTGGGGGTATAAAGACTTTACCTTCATGTACTTGAAGAGCGGAAGATAAAGTCACCGATGAGATTGCTACAGAGTATGTTATGTTAAATGGTGTTTTTTCATGCTCTCTTGTTTCCCCCCCTTTGAGTTATCTGCATCCAAATCCCTGTTTTTTCTTTTTTGGAGATGATTCACTGCTCGTATTAAAGGACAACAATTTTTAGTACTTGGGGGGTGTGGCAGCCCAAAAGTTGGGTGCTTTATATAAAGGAGCACAAAAATCTATACTGTTTCCAAGAAATAGGGATCTATCCAGATCCCTATTTTTATCTAGAGTATTAGATGCAGGTTAGTCACTTTGAAGTATCTCTTTATTTCCAATCATGTACTCTATATCTTGGCTGAGGTACCAAGCCATTTTAAATTGCCTTACCTTGGATGAGTGGAAATCTTATGGGTTATTGGGAAACAAAACACAAATGCATGCGAGCATGTGGAATCGTTGTGACATGTAGAGTTGTTATGTACTTCCCCTTGTTGTGGGCTCCCTTAGGTATGTTACTTTGTTTCTGCAGAGAGCCCCTGATGCTGTGTTTAGCACTGCTGTCACATCCTTAAAACCTGAGGATGGGTTTGATCCAAACCGGGTCAAATGCGTAGTGGACAAGCATGGCTATGCAATCTACTTCTCGAGGGGCTTGATCCCTTATAACAAGTAAGTTGCATTATAGATGTAGCTTTGACATTCTCTTACATGGCATGCATACTGAGCATTTTCGAATGGCTTTGTCCATGACTTTGTTATTTTGCAGGTCTGGAGAAGTTAATCCAAAGTTTCCTTACCTACTTCACCTTGGTATCCAGGTAGCATATTTCTCTCTCACAAAAACCTCTGCTTTACTTTGAATGTTGCTTTGTATTTTTTTGGGTAAGTGAATTTTGCTTGTATGTTTTCCTACTCTCTTGTTTACAACCATTTATATGCTGCCTGAATTAGCTTCTGATTACATGTGTTGCTTGTTAATGTTACTATTCTTGTTCCTAAACAGAGCTATGATTCGAAGTTTCTAAGGATATACCCACAGCTTCCACCTACTCTGCTGCAGCTTGAAGAAGATCTGGAGCAGCTAAAAGTTCTTGAGAATGGTTACAAGATGAAGGTACATAAATGGCAATCTCGGAATCAGATTATTTCACCTTGGTTTTCTCAAATCCCATTTAAATGATAATGTGTTCTATGATGGAAGGATTTGTGAAAATGGCAGTTTGTCCCCATGTCTGCTACCTTGAAAGTATTTCTAGATTGAAGACTTGTATGTCACCCTGGATCTAATAGATTACATGGCAACTAGTATATCACTAATTTGCTCTGCTATATGTGTAAAGACTCCTATGCTTTCATTTCCGATGAGTGTCATTAATTGTTCCTGATGTTCTAAGGAAAGGCTCTTTGTTTTTATCTCCTTACACACTAATATGGTGATAGTTGACGAGTCCGATTCCCATGTTAGTTGAAGAAAACTACGGTATTAGCTGAAGAATCAGCTATAATCTCTCTCCCCTCTCTCTCTCTCTCTCTCTCTCTCTCTCTCTCTACTACACACACACGACGACGACGACACCGACACACGACACGTACGTAGTACGTACGTACGTACGTTACGTACGTACGTTACGTACGTTACGTTACGTTACGTTACG